TATTTTCTTCTGAATCTTAGACAATAGTCAAATTGAAAATCATAGTCACTTGTGAAATGCTTTGGGGAATTCAGACAGGAGTAATGAGCCAGGTAGTATTCCGGATTTTCCTTTTATGATGATCTTATTTTCTCAGTTGGCTAACTGATTTACTACATATGGACCTTAAAAGTGAGCAACTTTCCATAAATTTTATCATAGGTGGTGGGTGGTGTTTTCTCATTAGGAGGCGCATAAAGACTGGTTGTGTCCTTTTAATGATGTTAGATGTTATCAGTTGTTGGTGCTCAATGCCTAGAACCATCAATTTCTTAAGAACGTAGAGTGGTGATGTTCTATTCAATCATTTCTCTTTATGTATTAGCTGTAATACTTTAAAGAGAAACTTTTCCTCTTCTACTATTTGGTTATTCACTTCCATGTATGTAGGGTAAATGCTTGATTTTTTTTTTTTTTTTTTTTTTTTGAGACGGAGTCTCGCTCTGTCACCCAGGCTGGAGTGCAGTGACACGATCTTGGCTCACTGCAAGCTCTGCCTCCCAGGTTCATGCCATTCTTCTGCCTCAGCCTCCCAAGTAGCTGGCACTACAGGCTCCCGCCACCATGCCTGGCTAATTTTTTTTGTATATTTAGTAGAGATGGCGTTTCACCATGTTGGTCAGGCTGGCCTCAAACTCCTGACTTTGTGATCCACCTGCCTTGGTCTCCCAAAGTGCTGGGATTACAGGAGTGAGCCACTGCGCCCAGCCCATGCTTGATTTTTTAATCAGTTTTTGGAGTGATTCTCCAAAGGATACTTGTTTGTAAGTATCACTGTGATGTCATGGATATAAATGTAGTTGATGTGCCTTGTGCTCCTGCACCTGTTATCCGTTATTGAAGCTCCTCTTTATCCCACCTGTGGCCTGTGAGCGTCTGTGCACACCAGCTCCTGAGTCCTTGTGTTACAATCGTGGTCGTTCTGGATCAATTCTTGCTCTGTGATATGAGAGATCACTTGGAATCACCCATAAGAAGTCCTGATTTCTTTTAGTACAAAATGGTATTTCAACATGACAGCCTAGGCATAGGAATGCTTACTGCCATGAGTTGGTCATTACTTCTAGGCCTTCTCAGCTACCCGAACCAGGAGAGTTCTTATAGATATTTCCAGTTCACATTCAGGACTACATCTTATTCATTCTTCCACTGGAGAATTATTCCCTGGTTGAATCAGAAGATGATGAAATTTAGAGAATCGCATAATTATTCATTTGCTTTATACTCTCTCATTTCTCTTTTCAAAAGTGACTGTGCCATTTTACTTACTCACTGGCACTGTATGTGGGTTCCAGTTTCACCACTTCTTCACCAGCACTTGTTATTATCTGTCTTTTTGATTATAGCCATCCTAGAGAGGGTGAAATTGTGTCTCATTGTAGTATTGACTTGCATTTCCCTGATAATGATGTTGAACATCTTTTCATGTGCTTATTGGCTATTTGTATATATTCTTCATATTGTTTGCCCATTTCAAAAATTAAATTACTTAGTTGTATGCGTTGTTTATATATTCTGGATATAAGTCCCTTATCAGATACATAATTTACAAATATCTTTTCCCATTTTATAGGAATTAAGTTTTCAAACAGACAGGTTTAGATTAACAAAAAGCAAGACCAACTTTGTAAACTACTGTCTCATTGCATCACCTTAGAAACCTTAATACAATTGAAAATTAGTTGAATTAGTAATTATCTGTTTGTTTACTTACGAGGTTAGTAGACTAGTAGTATTTAGTACTTTCCCTGTCTGCTGCTTAATGTGTTTTATCTCTGTGGTTATACTGTCTCCATCAAAGGTAAAGTTATTTCCTGGGCTCATTTGGAATGAGAATATTCATGAAGGTGGGAAATATTTAAAGGCAAGTTGTTGCCTACTGCCATTTCTTAGAGTTGTTTTGCTGAGTGATTGGAACATCTCACCTAAGTGCTGACTTTTCTGCGTAAGGTTATGAACAGTATCAGAGATTGCTTCGTGACTGGAAAGTGGGAAGATGATAAAGATGCAGCCAAGGTCTTAGCAGAAGATGGTAAGTGAAGAGCTGGGTTCTTCAGGAAGACTGGCTTCTCTAAACTTTATTTTCTTCTGTATCTTAGACAATAGTCAAATTGAAAATCATAGTCACCTGTGAAATGCTTTGGGGAATTCAGACAGGAGTAATGAGCCAGGTAATATTCCGGATTTTCCTTTTATGATGATCTTATTTTCTCAGTTGGCTAACTGATTTACTACATATGGACCTTAAAAGTGAGAAACTTTCCATAAATTTTAATCATGTGTTTGTTAAAAATAGATTTTGTGTGATGTGAAAAATACATACAAATGGCATTTATGTTTTTCTTTTCATAATAAAGGTAGTATGCATTGTAGAAAATTTAGAATGAAAAGTACATAACATACCAGAATTCTACTAACCCATAAAAAACCTTTGTTAACCTCTTCAGTAGTTTCCTTCTAGTCATTTAAAAATCATGTGTATAAACCTTTTTAGTTGTACTTTATATAATTTTTGGCAGGAGGATTGCTTAAGTGAGGTACTTTATATAAATTTTGTCATTAAATTTTTTCAAAGATTTCATATTTATTATTTAAATATCATACCATTATTGAAGTCGTAGTTTTTTCAATATCTAAGTAGTTTTGTACTTTGCTCATTTTATAAAGAACTCCACACTGAACAACTTTGAAATAATTCTTGGCTCATGCTTTTTATTTTCATAAGATAGATTCATAAGTGTTATAATTGAGTCATTTTTATGGATTACAACTGCCACATGGTTTCTTGGAAGGTCATTCTTTTTGTTTTGTCTTGAGACAGGATCTCGCTCTGTTACCCAGGCTGGAGTGCTTTGGTGTGGTCATGGCCCACTGCAGCCTCAGCGTCACAGACCCAAGCCTCCTGAGTAGCTAGGACTACAGGCTTGCATCACTACACCCAGCTAATTTTAAATTTTTTTGTATAGACAGTCTTTTTATGTTGCCCAGGCTGGTCTCAAACTCCTAGGCTTAAGAGATCCTCCTGCCTCAGCCTCCTAAGTAGCTTGAACCACAAATGTATACCACCATGCCTGGCTAATTTTTAAATAGTTCGTACAGATGGGAGTCTTGCCATGTTGCCTAGGCTGGCCTTGAATTCTTGGGCTTAAGCAATCCTCGCACCTTACCTCGCACCTTAGACTTCCAAAGTGCTGGGATTATAGGCATGAGCCACTGTGACTAGTCTGTAGTATGTGAATGTATTCTTTTTATATATATGTATATATATTTTGTCTGGGCTTTCAGGTTAATATCATTGATCTCTGTTGGTTCATTTATTATTACTATAATTTAGTACTCTATGTAGCTTTATCATGTTATTAAGACCCCAGTTATTAAAACTGTGTCTCAACAGTTTCTTTCTCTTTTTATTCTGCTAGGGGCTTTTTTAAGCATTCTCCTGACTATTCTCACTTGCTTATTGTTTTTTCCACAGGAACTTGAGAATCGTCTTTTGTTTTCAAAAGAAAGTGTGGTTGGGTTTCTTTTTTAATCACTTTAGTGAGGTATAATTGATGGTAAACTACAGTGTTTAAAGTGTACAATTTGATAAACTTTAATATGTGAGTATACCGTCGCCACAATCAAAATAATGAACACATTTATCACCCTCACAGTTTACACCACTGTGTAACCCTCCATCCTGTCCTCTTCCATCGCCAGGTACATTCAGCTGCCTTGTGTCACTATTCAGTAGGTTGTGCCCTTTAGAATTTAATCGAAATGGGATCCTACAATATGTGCTCTTTTCTGTCTGACTTCTTTTACTCAGCATGATTATTTCAAGATTCATCCATGCTGTTGCATCTTTATTTCTTTTTGTTGGCTAATGGGTAGTCCATTGTATGATGTATAGCAATTTATTTATCTGTTAACCTGTTAATAAACAATTATTTCCAGGTTTTGGCTATTATGAGTAAGGCTGCTGTGAACATTTTTGTAGAAGTCTTTATATGAACCACTTTTATTTCTTTTGGGTAAATAAGTAGTTCAGAATGGACTAAATGGGTCATATGATAGGTACACATTTAATTTTTTAAGAAATTACCCAACTGTTTTCTAAAGTGTTTACACCATTTTCCATTGCCACCATAACTTTATGTGACTTCCGGTTGCTTCACTCTACATCTTTGCCAGTACCTGGTAGTATCAGTCTTTTTAAATTGTAGGCTTTCTTTTAGGCATAGAGTGGTATCTTGAAGTTTTAGTGACTAATGGTTTCGGGCATTTTTCCATGTGCTTATTTGCCATCTGTGTCTTCTTTGATGAAATATCTGTCCAAATCTTTTGCACATTATTTTAATTGGGTTGAATTCTAAGAAATTTTATGTATTTTTGATACAAATTCTGTATGACATGTGATATGCAATTATTTTTGCCTAGTGTATGCCTTGTCTTTTCTATTTTTAATAGTGTTTTTCACAGAGCAAAGTATTTAATTTTGGTGTAGGTCAATTTATCAAAACAATTTTTTTCCGGGGGAATGGAATCTTGCTCTGTCTCCCAGAGTGCGATGCGATCTCGGCTAACTGCAACCTCTGCCCACTGGGTTCAAGCTGTCCTCCTGCCTCAGCCTCCCAAGTAGCTGGGATTACAGGCGCCCGCCACCATGCCTGCCTAATTTTTGTATTTTTAGTAGAGATGGGGTTTCGCCATATTGGTCAGGTTGGTCTTGAACTCCTGACCTCAGGTGATCCACCCGCCTCAGCCTCCCAAAGTGCTGGGATTACAGGCATGAGCCACTATGCCCTGCCCAAAATTTTCTCTTATGGACTGTGCTTTTGATAGTGTATGTAAGAAATCGTTGCCTCACCCAACGTCACAAATTGTCTCATATATTCTATAAGTCTTATAGTTTCAGGTTTTACATTTAGGTCTATAATTCTTTTTGAGTTAATTTTTTATAGGGTGTTAGGTATGGATTTAGGTTCCTTTTGACATATTGATATCCACTTTTCCCAGCACCTTCTGCTGATAAACTATTTTTTTCCCTATTGAATTGCCCTGTATTGGTTGGCCATATTATGGGTGCATATTTCTGGGCTCTCTGTTCTGTTCCATTGATATATTTGTTTATTTTTATACCAATACCAACACTGTCTCTGTTACTTACAGCTTTATAATTAGTCTTGGTATTGGGTAGTTTTTAACTTTAGGTAGTTTTTCAAACTTTAGTCTCCTTTTCAAAATTGTTTTGGTTAATCTAGGTTCTTTGCATTTTCATATAAATTTTAAGATGAACATGTCAATTGCTATAAAAAGCCCACTGCAATTTTGATTGGGATTTCATGGAACTTGTAAACAATTTGGGAAAATTGACATCTTAACCACATTGAGTTTTCTGATCTATGAACATAGTAACTCTCCATTTATCTTGTTCTTTACTTTCTCTCAGCAAGGTTTTCAGGATTCAGGTCTTATATCACTCTCAGCAATTTATTTTCATATCTACTTGTATTTATGTATGGCTAATATATAAGAAATGCAGTTGAATTTTTTATATTGGTCTTGTATCCTGCAATCTTGCTAAATTACTTGTTAGTTCTTTTTTTTTTTTTTTTTTTTTGAGACAGAGTCTCGTTCTGTCACCCAGGCTGGAGTGTAGTGGCATGATCTCAGCTCACCGCAGCCTCTGCCTTCCAGGTTCAAGCAATTCTCGTGCCCCAGCCTCGCAAGTAGCTGAGATTACAGGCAGCCACTACCATGCCTGGCTAGTTTTTTTATTTTTAGTAGAGACGGGGTTTTACCACGTTGGCCAGGCTAGTCTGAAACTCCTGACCTCAAGTGTGTATTTGGAGGGGAGGGGTAAACTTTGACTAAACAGTATTCATGGTTTTCTAAGTAAATACTTCTTACTACCCCAAGGATTCTTTTTTTTAATGCTGCTTTTTCTCCTGTTCTGCCTGGGCTTCCAAGTTCTGCTTTGACCTTTCACCCTGGTCCAATCTCATATGGTTCCCCCAGTTTCTGTGCAGGATGGTTCTGGGAGCCAAGCAGGATTCTCTTTATCTACAGAAAGGCTGAGATAGATCCCAGTGGTTTTACTTTCTTTCTTTCCTATCTGGATGACTTAATTTTTCTTGCCTTACTGCCCTGGCCTAAACTTCCAGGACAGTGTGGGTTAGAAGTCAAAGTAAACATCCTTGCTTTGTCCTGATTTTGCTTATTTTCCACGTGAACTTAAGAATCACCTTTTCTGGCTGGGCGCAGTGGCTCATGCCTATAATCCTAGTACTTTGGGAGGCCAAGGCAGGCAGATCACGAGGTCAGGAGTTTGAGATCAGCCTGGCCTGGTGAAACCCCGTCTCTACTAAAAATATAAAAATTAGCTGAGCATGGTGGCACATGCCTATAATCCTAGCTACTCAGGAGGCTGAGGCAGGAGAATTCCTTGAACCCAGGAGGCGGAGGTTGCAGTGAGCTGAGATCGCGCCACTGCAGTCCAGCCTGGGCAACAGTGCGAGACTCCGTCTCAGAAAAAAAAAAAAAGAATCACCTTTTCTATTTCCAAAAGAAAAGTTTGTGGTACGTTTTTTCCTAATTAAACTTTTAAGTTTGAGGTAATTGTAGATTGACATGCACTTGTAAGAACGAATACAGAGAGATCTCCTGTATCTTATACTATAGCACTATCTATATATATGTACTGTGTATACGGTGTGTACTGTAATACAAGGTCACAGCCTGGATGCCAACATTGATACAATCTGCTGATCCTCTGTAGATTTTTCCAGTTTTACCTGTGTGTGTGTGTGTTTTACATTTGTGCTATATACTTCTGTGCTCTTTTATCACATGTGTAGGTTTGTGTGTCTACCAACAGTTAAGATACAGAGCAGTTCCATCACAAGAATCACTTGTATTGCTGTTTTATAAACACACCCACGCCCCTGCTGTTCCCCAGCCCCCAGTTCCTTCTCTTGTGAACCATAATGTGTTTTCTGTTTCTACAATTTTGTCATCTTCAAGAATGTTAAATAAACAGAATAATAC